AAAGYCCAYCTCATTCCACCCCTGCCATGGGTTCCACTGGACCGGGTGCTCAGTCATGAGCCCCCCAAAGCTGCTCTTTCATATCAAGGTTTAGCAATGAAGAGTCCTGGACAAGGCTTCACCTTCCTTGGACTCACATCTTGTGTCTTGGAGAGCGAGACCTCGGAAGTGAGATGGAGAGCAGGATCACTATTTAATATGTCTGGGAAAAGCCCATCTCAGTGTGGCCAAGAAACCTGTATCCTGCATCCCAGAGGTCATGGAATCATGGACACTTTGAGGTTGGAAAGRTATCAGTCTGAACCATCTGGACTTGGTTTCTTCTTCACTCCCAAAACACCAGCAAGCTTCCATGTCTGCTCCTTCCTTATCCCTTGTTCCTCACTTCTTTTGCCATTTCTAATTTCCACAAGAGACTCCTGTGTTTCTAGTTAGGGCTCAGTTGGTTTTGCAAGCACAGGAGGGCCTGGAGCAATCATAGGGGTGGGAGGGAGGGGGACAGGGGTCTGTGGGACCCCTTGGGTCATGTAGGGCCTGATAACCCAGGGTGGGACAGCAGGGACCTTGGGAAGGCTKCAGGCACTGGATGCCAGAGGTGGTTTGGGGACTTCTGGGAATTTGGAGGAGATAAGGTGAGTATGGCTGGGGAAGGGTCAGTGCTGCTGGTACCCACACACCCTCCGGGTTCTGAAGAATTCCTGAAGGAAACCTGGGCACATCTGGGTCTTTTAGGGAGTTTTCACTGAGCCCACAGTGATGGCAGTGGTCCCTTGAATCCGTGTTAATTCAGCAGATAAGAGAGCAACTGTGGGGCGTAACCCAGCAGCAATACATGGRAGGGCAAAGAGGAAGGTGCTGTGGCATTTCCAGTAAGTGGTGCTGTGTCAGAAGGAATTTGGAGCTGGGAATTTACTGAAACTCCTCACGGAACAACACACACCTCACCAACGGCCCACACTACTTCCTGCTGGGTGGGTCTCATGAAAAATGGGGTGTGAGAATGAGGGCGCTCAGGTGGATAAACTCCTATGGTCACCAGGGTGACCAAGGGAAGACAGTGGATGTCACTGAATTTGGGATGCAACCCTAAAACCTGCACCCCTGAGAACTGCAGAGAGCCAAGGCAGAAAGACCATTGAGGAATCTTTTCCTGCAGCAGGATGTGAGAACAGGAGGCTCCTCAGAAGTGCCTGGGCCCTGGAGGGTCCACAGTGACTCTGTTCCACAGCTGCAGGGACACATGAACCTCTCTCAGGACAACTCTCCCAGCCCTGACATCCATCTCATGGCCAGAGCAGAAGAATTTGCTGAAATTCTTGGGTTTTGCTATCTAGAAAGAGATAATCACATGAGCAAAATCTCTTTGTATTTTCCAGGAAGGAATGAAAAGTTCTCACAAGAGCTGACAATGCTGAGCCTTTGAACYGGAGATTTTCACTCGAGGTATTTATCAGAGCTGCTGAACTGGACGGTCAGGGCAGACCTCCCCATCCAGCCCCACAGGACCCCCTGCCCTGACTGCTCTGTTATCCTGAGATCCACTGGCCCTGGGGTGACAGMACCCATGGAAATGGAGCAGGGGGATCCTGTGACCCCATAAACCCACCGGTGTCTGCCCAAGGATGCAGCTCCCATGGATCCTTTCCTCCCTCAGCCCCAGCTGGCAGTGTCCTGCAAAGAGAGGGGATGGAAGACTTCAAACCACAGGGGAAACACAAARGAAGAACATGATGGAGTYACAACKGGGTTTAATTAATCCCATTAATTGYTGTCAAGTCTCAAGAAACTCAATTTCCAGAAAGCTGCTTTTTTCCCCCGAGATTTTGGACACAATCCATCTATTCCCTGGCTCCTTAGCAGGCAGCTCCAGGAGCACCAGAAATCACAATGAGGGAGGTGTGCAGCAAGTGCAGCAAGAGACACATTTGTCATATTTGTCCTAGGCCAGGTTGGACAAGGCTTAGAGAAACCTGGGATAAAAAAAAAGCATGGAAAAATTCCACCCCTATGGCAGGGGATGGAATAAGATGAGCTTTTAGGTCCTTTCCAACCCAAAACAATCTGGGGTTCTGGGATATAACAGTTATTTTCTGCTTTGGTTCAGGGCCCAGCTGCTGTCACCCAGCCATCCCTAAATCCAGAGCTACCCCTGGCAGAAGTGTGGGGACTCCAGGATGGTCTAGACCAGGTTGCCCAGCTGGGCACCACAACTCAGCCCCTCTCAGGTGCTCAATCCCAGCTGTGTTTTGTGCAGAGGCTGAAGATCTGGCCCAGGATTTTGAAAGATGGCATTTCTCTGCTGTTGACAGAGCTGCTAATCTGATGATTTTGCATGAATGACCCCAGGCTGCTGCTGGGAAAGGGAGGAGCAGCAGGTGGAATGCAACAGGGTGAGTGTGACATGACCCCACTGCGGGCTCTGCTTGCTGCACCCTCAGCCCTGCTGGGGGCACGGGGCTGGGCTTTGAATGAAGGTCACCCAACTCAGCAGGACTTTATTGCTGCCTTTTCCTCCACCCCATTCCCCATCCCAAGCCACAGGCAGTCTTTGACTCTTCAGGGGAAAGAGCCCAAGAGAGAGTCACAGARCCATRGAATCATTAAAGTTGGAGAACATCTCCAAGATCRTCGATTTCAACATYCCCACTGATGCCTTAGGATTTTTAGTTTCTATCTGTATTCTTGTACTTCCCTAGTACAGCACTAAAAGCTACCATTCTCTTATCTTCAGACAAAACAATCCCTCTCTGAGCCTGAATCCAAGGACACCTCCCTGCCTGAGAGCCCCAAAATATGGAAACAACAGCGAGTTGGGGGGAGCAAGTTTGGGGTGGTTGACACCATCACCTGTAAAGATCATTGGAGAATTAAGACCCAATATGTTAATAAGGCAGAACTTATAAAAGGTGAAGATCTCATGACCCAGTGTCCATTTTTGGGTGTAGCCTCAGGAGGAGGCTTTTGTCTGCCCTAATGTACGAGTATGGCCTGTTAGGCCTGTATTAAAGTTGTGTATTCTCCTTCTCTTAACTTTGTCTGGCCTCTCTTTCAGATTAGCCTGATTGATAAGGCATCACCACCCCCCAGATTCCCCGCTTCCTGGTGTTTCCATAGGTTGGAAGCGGCCAAGGGACATCCCTGTCCATGTCCCAAGGCTTCTCTGGGGCTGGTTCAGCCCCAGCTGTGGTTGGGAAGCCGCCCTTCCCCTCGGAAGCACTCTGCCCACCCTGAGCCCGGCGCACCCGCTCCACCAACACGTCCTGGGCTGTGGCACTGACTCAGTTCCTGTCCCCATGGCACCGCTCTATTCTCGAAGGGTGAGCTGGCTTTTTCCTGCCACTGGAAAATACACTTCTTTTACATCCCTTTTTAAATCATTTTTCCATTGACACGGATGTCTAGACTCCACAAAGGGCAGAAGGAAGGTGGGACAACCCTTCTTCCCGGGTTGTTTCCAACCCCAGTGGGATTGGAGCCTTGGCTGGATCACAAAGAGCCCCATTCATGAGGTTATTTTGTCTCCCAGGGTGACCTTTCAGGCCTAAAGATCTCTGAGACATTGACAATGCAATCAAAATTTGCTTCACAGAAGTCTCTTCTGGTGTTCCCCCTCCTGTGGAGGAGGTCTGAGAACTCCACATCCCCTTYTGTCCCTCTCATCTAGAACACRGGAATGGAGAAGTTCTTTCCCCTTSAGYAGGAYGGGAGAGGAGCAGCACCAGAAGGGCTCAGCGAGGGTTTCCCTTGAGGAGGCCTGGACAACCTTTTTTGACCATAACCTCCATTTTTAGTAAAGAAAATACTCTTGTTGATACCCCCAAAAAAGGTTTGATCCGCAATTTTTCAGCAAATGTTCAAATGTTTCTCTCAGCCCTTTCTGACTGGAGTGTTTTGGATTTGCCACTTAAAACAACAACTTTTTTCCTCTCTCCATTTCTTTTCAAAAATGTTTTGCTTCCCCTCACATGCTGGGAAAATTGTGGAAATAGTAGAAACATATTTCTTTTTGCCTTAAGTGAAAGATCCCATTTAAATTTTCTGTTCCCTGAACTGTCCCTTTCTGGTTTGCCAGTACACAGAGAGCTGTGGGTGGGGTAAAATCTAGCCTGAAATGAAATCTCTCCTTGTTTCACTTCGGCAGAGTGAGAAATGCTTCCCCCAGTGTCCTGAGACTGAAACCAACATTTTCTATGAGCAAAAAGCAAAAAATATGGAGACAAAGAAGAGAAATGGATCTGGATATAGCATCAAGAACAACAGTTTTTTGAGCTACTTTTAATTTGTGCCACACTAAAAAAAATCATCATTTGCAGCACAGGGTAGCAGCACTCCTGGTATATTTAAGCCAGGGCAGTTTTCCCTCACCAAAAGGCTTTCAGATGTCTCAGCACGTCTCCAAATTCCCATTTCTTACCACATTCCCTCAGATTTGGGGGTTTATGGGATTTTTTAGTGATTAAGGGGTGAAATTCAGCCCTGGTGTTTATGAGCTAGCACCAGGGGCTGCTGTGAGGAATTATCTTCTCCCTCCCTCCTCTTTCCCACCCTGGAAGTGTCACAATTCAATTCCCTCCCAAGATCCTGCTTGGATCCTGCATGGCCAGGAACCCCAACACCCAGAACCCTTTGCCCCACAAAGTTTGGTCAGCTCTGGCCACAGACGATAGCACAGCCCGGGTTAGATCTGTTGATTGAAAATATTTTATTGTGTTCTAAAAACCAGTTTTAATGAACCCCAAGGAAATACAGGAAGTGCACCAGCAAAATTATTGAGCACACTGAATTCTCTGGAATTTTCTCTGCAGGAAGAGAGCCAGCTCTGTGAGGATAAGCTGAGGAGACCCAGTTTTGCCGGAGTTTATGGAGGTTAAGCTCCTCCGACTGCACCGCATTTATCCTTAAATTCCAGCACGACTTCAGGTGAAATCAATGACCAGTGCATTGGTTTCAGCCGGAGTTTGATCAGCACCTTGCACCTGAGTCAGGTGAGAATAAGAATAAGGTCAGCAGTTTTTGGAGGCAGAACAAGCCATAACTGCAATGTTTGCCAAGGAAAATTCCTCACGAAGGTTTGAGACTCCTTCCCAACTCTTCCTGGTGAGCAGCCACCACTCCAGCTGCCTGTCCTTCCTAAMCAGTCCACATCATCCCATTCCTACACTCCAGGAGCCATCCCACCACACTCTCATGATGCCAGTTAGGTCATAGGTGAGCACTTCTCCAACTTCTTCATTGTATTTCAGAGGTTTGGAGAGAAGTTCAGCCCCTGGAGAGATCAAATGACTGCCTGGAGTGGCTGGAATCCCTTCCTCTGATCCTATGGAATTTGCACTCTGGAGGAAACGTGCCATGAGATGGGAAGAGTTGGGCTGTAAGGCAAGAGACCAGCTCCTGGCCTCCTCAAACACATGGAGATTGCTCTCCTGGAAYTGGTACTCAGCATAACACGGGAAGGGAGGGTCTTCCCTAAAGCTCCAGCACCTCTAAGGATATAATATTGGAATAATCCAAACGGGAATTCCACTCTGACACCGAGTGTGAAATACAGAAACAGCATCTCAGGTCATGGCATTTCTTGGGAGTGTTGGGTTCTCCCAAGAGAGAAAAGCGAGGGTCAAAAAGGAGTGACCACCATTCTGGAGAGGACCTGCAAGAGACACCCCCAGCTCCTGAGCCCACACTTTGCCAAGTCCATGGATCCACCAGCACAGCACCTGGACACATCCCCCCTCCTCCTCTCCCATGTGGTGACACCTGGGGACATGGGTCAGCGGTGGCCTTGGCAGGGGGGGGACAGCTGGACTTCGGGATTTGAAAGGTCTTTTCCCACTGAAATGATTCTGTGTGATTCAAGTTTCATGCAATATTTCTCCTGCACCACATGATTCTGCACCACTTCACCCCACTCCATGCCCCAAATCCAAGGAATTCCCTCCTAGTGATGGGGACAAAGCTCTGTAACTCTGGGGCCAGCCTGTCACCAAAGGAACATTCCCTTTGGTCATGACTGATCTCCAGGGAGAGCTGGCCGTGTCCCTAAGGGAAAATTTTCCTGCTGGGTGCCTGTGGTTTGTCAGGCAGCAGCACACTGGGATATTTAAGCAGTATCCATAGAAAGACGAATGAATCACCCCCGCAGCTGGAAAGCCTCTCCCATTCCCCAATTTGGCCAGTCTGGCATTTTCCAGCAGACGATGTCGTGGTGAGCACGGAGCTGTGGCAGTCAGAAGCGGGTGTGACGCTCGCAGCCAGAATCGGGAGAGGGATCCCGCCCTGGCTCCACCAAGGCAGCCATGCCCACCCCGTTGTGCACAGCATGGCCACGACCCCGGAGATCTTCCCAATCTTTCGCGGGGCAAGTGCCACTGTTGGGGACCCCCAGGTGTTTCTTCTGCACCTGCTCCAGGATCTGCAGCACCTGGAATGAGTAAACACAGCTGGGAGTGGGTTAGGAAAAAGGGGAGAGCACCRATTTCTTCTCCACCTGTTGAAATAATCACAGAATTATAAAACCATGGGGTGGATGTGACCTTTAAAGGTCCCCCAGGGGCCTCCATGGAAGGGACACCTTCCAAAAGATCTTCTCTTTGAAGTGACTGGCTCGGTTTTGGGATGACACAAATAATTTCTGTGTGCTCAGAGTCCCTGGGACAGGTGTTAACAGAGAACCTGAAGGTCCATGACCCTGGACCTCACAGCCCTCTCCATGGATGAATCAGCCTCACCTTGCCCATTCCCAAGTCCACAGAGCCTGTCCCATGGAGGTCCATGACCCTGGATCTCAGAGCTCTTTCCATGGATGAATCAGCTTCACCTTGCCCATTCCCAGGTCCCCAGAGCCTGTCCCATGGAGGTCCATGACCCTGGATCTCAGAGCCCTTTCCATGGATGAATCAGCCTCACCTTGCCCATTCCCCAGTCACCCAGAGTGTGACGGTGCTCTGGAGCAGGATCAGGACACAGTGACGTGGAGCTCTGCTCCCGTCCTTCACACCACCCTGGGATAACCCCTCATGCTATCACAGACTTCTCTGCCTCTGGAACCAGGAACCCCCAAGCTCCATGGAGAAAGGGACTGGGAATAAAACCCAGCTGAATTTTACCTGAGACTTGGGGATGATGCCAACTCGGAAGAATCCAATGTTCCCGCTGTCGATCTTGGTGCAGTCCACCACGGTGGAGGCAATGTTCTCTGGAGAAGGGCCASCACAAAGAACTGCATCCACCTGAGGGACAACAGATTTCCAACCAAATTCCCCTTGGAAAAGGAGAGTTTCCCCTCTCAACAGCAAATAATTCTCATCAAAGGCAATGCTGCTCCTTCTGCCCCACTGCTTTGACACCAGTGCTGGATTTGGAATGAATGAAGCTCAAAGCACGGACAGGGAGAGCTCTGTGGGGTGCAGGTYAGCAACACAGCACAGACTGGTTCACACCAGCTGAAGAGCTCTGAGGAAGTCCCATCCTGAAAAATGTGCATGAATTTCTGGTTTTTGAGGAGTTAGAGTTGGAAGATTTGTACCCCCTCTTGTTTAAAACTGCCATGAAGACACAAAATGTAAAACCCTCAGAATTCAGTAGTGAAATCGTAGAATCATGGAATCATCCTGAGTTGGAAGGATCCACAAGGACCATCAACCCAACTCCTGGCCCTGCACAGGACACCTCAACAATTCCACCCTTCCAAACCCTCCTGGAGCTCTGGCAGCCTYGGGGCTGTGCCCATTCCCTGGGGAGCCTGGRCAGTGCCAGCACCCTCTGGGGACAGAAGAACCTTYCCCTGAGATCCAGGCTAAACCAATGAAAGGCCATGACCTTGGCACTTCCATGAAGGCTCTGAAAGCCAGGARTATTTTGGAGCTTGGCACCASTTTTAGACCAGCCCAGCTTTAGATGGTAAACCCTGAGTTCTCACAGCCCAATGCCAACTGGAGCCCTGGCACATTCTGCCATCAGGATTGGATTGCTTGTAAGCAAGAAGGAATTTTTTATTGCTCCCATCCTCCCATGTTGGAATATGAACCAATTCATGTTGCCAAGCCATAACTACACTGTGTAAAGCAGAAGAATTTTGGTTTCCCACCAGGTTCTGTATTTTAAAATGTTCTTTCCAATCTGAGGAGTGTTCATGAGATTTTTTAAAGCTAGATGTTTGCCCAGATTCCTGCTAGCATCGATTGATTTTCTTTCTGGAAACAAATGGTTGCATTTTCCCATCTGCACATCTCTTGGTTACCTTRTCTCCCAGTTTGGCATACACTTGGTTGTGGTGGGTTGTGTCAGCCTCTCCCGTTGGGTTGGCTGATGTGACGACGATGGGGCCAACCTGGTGACAGAAGAGCAAGAGTCAAAGCTCTGAGCAGGATTTTCAGGATTGAACAGGTGACTTGAGCTCTGAACTTCATCTGTGACTCTGAACAGAGCTCAGAGTGCTCTACTGGTGTGGCACCTACTTTGTAGGCAGCTRCAGTCCCAACAAACTGTGTCTGAGTGACCAACACTGACAAACTTGCGTTAGTGATGGTGGCCCTGAAATGACATCTGTTTTTCCAGCCAAAGACCTACAAGGTCTGCCCTAGAACAAGCAGAGTATCACAGCTCCRCTGGCCACTTTCTGCACCTTCTGAAATCACTCTGGCCTCAGAGAAGCCTGTGCTTCCAACAGCGTTCTGTGCTGAAAGTGAAACCATGTCTGTTAATGGCATTTTTCTGGCTTCCTGACCTGGTGGTGGCTTCTTTTCCCCTCTTTGCTGCCACAAAACCCCTCCCAGCTGCCTGCAGGCCCCAGCCCTTCTCCAAGAAGGGGTCAGGTCACAGGGCTGAGGTTTTGTGACTCACCAGGTCGATAAGGTGTGTGGTGACAGAGCAGTCGGGGATGCGGATGGCCACACTCTGAGGGGTTCCAACGTATTTAGCAGAGTCCTTCATTCCCAGGAAATCCACCCATTCACCTGCACCAAGCAGAGTCACACASCCCTTAGAGAGCTACAAACATGATGATCTCACCAGGAATATCCCCACAGAACACGTGGCATTGCAGGGGTTCACAGTTTCAGGAATTTCAAACCCAAAGCTCTTCAGAGAGCTTGGAATTTTCAGCATTTTCTCACCTCTGGGAATGACCAAGCTAATGGGAGAYGGCCAGGCAGCCTCCATGAAGTCCCAGAGGAGGGGTGTGAACAAATGCTTGGCAGGTTCCAGTTGCTTTAGGCTGGAAATCCAGAGGGACATGGGGCGATCCTGAGCCTGGCGCTTGGACCTGGAAAAGAGGCAGAAAAAGATGAGTCTGGAACTTAAATGGGATTGAATTTCCAGAAAAAGAAACTGTTGGGGAGGTCTAGAGCTAAGACAAGGTGTGTAGGCTCTGCCCCAGGTCTGGAGWAAAAGTAGGAGCTACCCAGACAGGAAGGGACATCAATGACTATTCCCAATCAGGAATGTCTATTCCAAATCAAGGCTTTAACTTCTTGTACAGTGATGGATAAAAATCCTAATGGCCCAAGTTCTGAGGCAACCCCACCAACATGAGCRGTCCCAGCTTACAGCAAGAGTCTGCTGTCACCAGAGGGGTTTTGTWGTGACAATTTGTACCTAGAAATATGTACAACACCCCCTGCTCCATTTGTCGCTTTTTGGGTTTCCTGAGGTGTCCAAGTTGGCTCCATCAGCTTTCAGAATCCCAGAACACAACTCCAGCTCAATCCTCTCCTTTCCTCACCTGGATCTTCTCCCCACCCTGCTGTTCCCACTGAGGCTGAGCTGCCTTGCTCTCAGCAGGTGCTGTAGCTAGCACCCAGCAGCAGCTCTGAGTTCTGGAACRTTCCTGAGCCCAGCCCAGGTGTCAGAACTCACCGGTGAGCCTTCTCCACGGCGTCAGGCCGGCTGCAGGCGGCCACCAGCACATACACGGTGTCCGTGGGGATGCCGCAGGTGCCACCACTCCTCAGGATATCTGTGGGCATGGGAACAGAGCACCAGCCCTTGAGTGACTGGTGAGGGGCTGTGGTTCCCACAGCAGAGCTGTCACTGCTGATTTGGTGCTCTCCTCTCCTTTTCCCAGCCCTGGCAGTGCATTTTCCCATCTCTCCTCCCAGGGGGATATCTGGCATTTGGAGGGGCTCTGGGCCAGAGGTGAAGAGAGTAGGGACCAAGTACTTGCTCTGCTTTCTCTGCWCAAAGCTTTGGGTGCAGCCTGGAGTTTTCCTGCGTCTCAGACTGGATGAGGACATGGGAAGTGATGCAGGAGGAACAGCAATGAATTCACTGTTCCACTCAGCTCGCGACTCCTGTAACCTGGCCCACTTCACCAAAATGTCACCACATTATCCCGGTTTCCACATCAAGGCCAGGTTGGATGGGTCTTGGAGCAGCCTGGGATACTGGAAAGTGCCCATGGAACAAGATGGGCTTTGAGGTTCTTTCCCACCCAAACCATTCTGTGATTCCCTGATTGGAATAATGCCCTTTTAGGACTGCTCTGCTACAAAACCTCCCAGAATTTCCCCTCCATCACCCCATTCTGCCCTCTGCTCTTCCCTTACCTGCAATTCTCTTGACCGAGGAAGCTTTCCTGGCTGGCAGGTGAAGGCACTTGGTTGTCCCTGCCCCAACACTACTGAGCTGCACCACAGGCCTCCCCATGGGCAAACAGCAACCCTCCAAGGTGATGCTGCAAAGGGCGGCCAGGAAGCAGTAAAAGCTGACCAGCCCAAAGATGAGGGTGGCAGCGGTGTCGTATCCAGCGGGAAGAGCGTGGATGGCGTCCAGCAGGAAGCTGACAGCGATGAGCATGAACGTGAGGGAGTAGAAGAACCAGGCCATGTTTAGGAAGAGTGAGCAGAAGACAATGAAGCTGTTGAAGAGCATGAAGGCAACRATGCCTACAGCTGTGTGGAAGCTCCTGTTGGTGCCATAGAGGCCACCATACCTGGTGAGGCCCCAGATGACCCACARGACAGCATAGAGGATGAAGGCACTGCTCTCCAGGGTTTTACCCCGGGCAAAGGCCACTGAGCCACCAAGGAGCTTCAGGATCCCACCAGCAACCACCACCCATGGGATGATAACAGTGGCGAGGGGAGCCTGGGGGTCTCCTGGGGTTGTTAGAGCAAAAGAAGCCAGGACACTGCARGCATAGGTGAGGACTTCTGCATCTGCATACTTGGAATAGCCCAGGTAGGGGGCATGAATGTCTGGCCCTTCCCGGAGCTTCAGGAAGCTGCTGCGGGCAAGAAGGGCTTTCACAGCACCTCTTCCCATTGGGATCTTGACCCTTGCCCTCACATTGTACAGGTGAATCAGAGTTACCAAGGCTGATGCCACAAAAATGGCCACKGCCACACCGTGGGGGCCACCTGCAAAAAAACCCCTGGGACTGCAAGCCAGGGCAATGCAGTAGGCAACGAACACCAGGAAGTACAGGCCATCCACAGGGCTCTGAAGGGAGAGAAAAAGAGCCAAGACAGCAAAAAGAATGGAGAAAACCACCAGGAATGGGGTAGGGAAAGCTGGCTCCTCTGGCTGCCAGATGGGATACAGGAGGCAATAGCCTGCAGCGAATTTGAGGATGGAGGTGAAGCCAAAAGCAGTGGCCATGAGAACGTCCATCACACGGTAGGACAACACGCAGAYGCCAATCTGGTAGGTGCCAGCTGCCCACAGCCAGGGCACATGKCCCAGGAAGAGCTGGTGGGTGACCCCCAGGAGCCTGCAGCAGAAGACACAGGCTGCCAGCATGTTCAGGAGCAGYCCGGGTGCTGCAAAGGGGTTGGTGCTGCTGCTGTTGCCTCGGCTCTGCTTGTGGGCCTTCTTCTCGGCGAGATCTGCGCCAGGGAGGGCAACTCTCCCTTGGCTCAGGAAGTAKAGGATCCTCCCCAGAGCGAAGTAGCCCCCAACCAAACAGACAATGAGGTGACTGCAAGCCACAGCAGAGGGGCCGAGGGAGGAGCTGTAGTGCAGGGCCACCTCATGGGCGCTGGCGAGGGACACAGCGGCAGCCACCAGGGCCAGGATGGGCTCGCCACAGAGGAAGCCCACCACGGCCACCAGGAGCAGGGCCAGGGTGAAGGTGGCCAGGCCTGGCACCAGGGCATCGCGGAAATCCCCCGGGGTAGCCAGCACTCCCTGCCCTGCCAGGATGAGGATCACTCCATAGCCACACCAGAATGCTGAGAGGGTCAGGCACAGGRACACCAGCAGGGAGGCATTGCTGAGGCTTCTCCGGATCCCTGGGGAGCAAATGGAGACAGGGCTGTGATTCCAGGTAGTAGGATGTGGGATGCAGGGGTTAGGAAAGGCAGAAAGTGGGATCACTGTGGAGCATGGATTGGCACAGGTGCTGCCTGATGGTGGATTTCCCCTGGAGAAGGCTCAGGGGCCCTGATCACACTCTACAACTTCCTAGAAGGAGGCTKTAGTGAGGGATCAGTCTGTTCTCCCAGGTAACAAGGTACAGGATGAGAGGAAATGGGCTCAAGTTGTGCCAGGGTTGGGTCACGCTGGGTATTAGGGAAGATTTCTTCATGGAAAGGGTTTTAAAGCACTGGAAGGGGCTGCCCAAGGCAGTGGTGGAGTCACCATCCCTGGAAGTGGTCAAAAAACATGTGGATGTGGCACTTGGGGACATGACTTAGTGGTGACCATAATGCTGTTTGACAGATGGACTGGATGATCTTAAAGGTCCTTTCCAAAYCACCTCAACARTTCTGTGATTTGATGGTTCTGTGAWTTCATGTTCTAACTGCKATGAGTTACAAAGAATCAATAAGTCAACATTCATTCTAGGAAGTGTGGATTTTGCTCTAGGCAGTGATTTTTTCTCTCRTATAAGTAGAGGCCTTGTCTCTTGKCATTTACCCATGGACATTTCAACCCATGGATGCTGAAAGCACTCTCRGAAAGCCGGGGAGAGAACTCATACATTCAGTGTGTTACAACTCTGAGATCCTGGTAGAGCATTTGTTTAAAATAAACATTGATTTCTTTCCTCACCTATAGAGGAAAAATTTGATGTGCCCAATTTGGTTGGGTTGGGAGAGACCTCAAAGCTCATCCCATTCCACTCCCTGCCATGGGCAGGGACACTTCCCACTGTCCCAGGCTGCTCCAAACCTGGCCTTGGACACGTCCAGGGATCCAGGAGCAGCCACAGCTTCTCTGGACAACACATTCCTCTGGGAGAAAGGATGAGTGGTCCAGTGAGGCTGCCATGGTCTGTATCCTGTTGGCAAAGCAGAYCCAGACCATGCAAAGCTGCAGAAGGGAGGCCTTGGGCCTGGCCACCCCACACCTCACCTGCATATGCCAGGAGAGCCGACAGGATCAGCAGGAGAACTCCGAGGGCTGTGCTGGGGATCAGAGGGGCTGCCTGGGGCGAGCTGTAGAAATGCACGGCCAGCAGGAGAGATCCTGTGGGACAGGGATGGGGGAAGCACAGAGAGCTGTAAACCTGGCCCAAAGCCCAGGAGAGAACCAGAGAGCACATAGCAGAGAATGAGGCAAAACAACAGTTTTAGTTATCTTGAGTCACAGGATCTGCAAATAGTGAAGTCTAAGGAGCTGGGGGAGTGGGACTTGGTTTGTGCCCAAGGTCTCACTTCTTTCTGGGTGTCTGGTTTGAAAAAACTTGAAATCAATGATTCAAGGTTGCCCAGAGTGGTYGTGGCTGTCCCATCCCATCAAGGCCAGRTTGGATGGGGYTTGAAGCAATCAGGTCTTGTGGAGGGTGCCCCTGCCCTTGGAAGCAGATGGGACTGGGTCATCCTTCCAACACAAACCATTCTGGGATTGTATGAAAGTGTTTGAAGGTGCTCCCCTGTTGCCAAATAAAGGTAAAATCCATGATTCCAGTTATACAAAAGGCAGACAGACACACATCCCCTGCAGATGATCTCTCCAGCCCTGTGCTGATGGAAAACCACATGAAAAATCTGGGCAGATGGAACATAAAGAAGGAGCAAATGAAAGGGAGTGAACACAGAAAACAGTCGTGGGGGGAATGGCTGGAAAAGGAAAGAGGAGGAAACTGCATCCAAATCGAGATGATTTACTACAGTGACTATGAAGAAGTTTGGATTTGCTTTCCACCCAGCATGGAACGAATACAAAACTTCAGGCCAGCCCTCGGAAGCCAACACAAATATTTTGTTGGCTGCTGAAGCAGGCGCAGGGATCTCTGGATCGAAAAACTTTACCCAGGGAGAGCTGCCTGCGGATAAACAGYCTCTTTAGCCCCCTCGGAAAAGGGGGGTGTCCCGGAAAGCTCGTCCCAAGCCCGTGTCCGCGCCAGGAGTGGATCCCTACCTGCGGAAATGCCCAGGAGCCCGATGCAGGAATGCAGTGACTCAACGGCGCCGGCGCCCATCGCGGTGCGCGCTGAAGCCCCGGCCGAGGGCTGCACTGCTGCCTCCCTTTCCTCCCATGCTCTTTATAACCAAACCATCGCCGCTGCCGCCGGTCCTCCCTGCTCTCCACCCCTTTTCCCTACAAACCTCTTCTGTTCCTGCTCCTCTCTGCATGCGGGAGGAAATGCAAATGAAGTTCTGGCTGCAATAAATTTGGGGCTGTGAGTCAGCGTGGGCTGCTGGTAGCWCCCTCCAGGGGCCTCTCAATTTTACCGTTGATTAACCCTTGTTAAAAAAGACACTTGAAAAATAAGGYTGAAGGTTTATTGCCATTACTGCCTTTTTTGCTCCTGCCAGTGAGGAAATTACACCGGTTAAAATGAAGGGTTTTGCAAGCATCCACCTTGCTGGAGCAAACAAACACTCTGCAAGCCCAGCAGCTCCKTGGGGACCAGTTGTTTCTCCTCACCCTGGCCACAGGCCTGCTGTTTGTCCCTGTCACAGCTCTGAATGCCTGGCACCAGCACCCTGAGCTGGGCAAACCCAGGGCAGAATCAGGCACATTCCCTTAAAGGTGACTTCTGTCCATCTGTCACTCCACATCCAGCTCATCCAGCCCAGAGGTGCCTGGCTTTCCAGGTCAGGAGTSAGTGTCAGTCAGTGCCAGAATTGTTTCTGTACCCCAAAGGGACATGAAGGAATTGTGGACAGCTTCCTGCTGCTTCCCTTGGGGGATGTGTGGTCAGGGCGTAAAGGTGTTTATGGATGGAGGAGAGGCTGCAGAAAGTGGTGGACACTGGCCTTGGGATCGTGTTGGGACACGGGTCAGGTGGGAATTCAGTAGAGAACTGTTCTGTGAGAGCTGACAGAGCTTTGATTCCTCTGTYATTTTGTTTGTGGTGATGGACCAGTGTAGGGACTGTTCCCATGAAGGACCCAGCTCCACTAAAGCCAATCCCACTCTCCTGACAAGATAAAAGATGCAGAACAGTGTGCAGGGTTTTGCACTGCTGCTCCTGGGCTGGCCAGGGATGGCTCTGTAGAACTCCTCCAGCAGCCAGCTCTGCTGTTCCCCTCATCAGACCCTACTCTGTCATGCCCCAAAAGTACTGTTCCACAGCCAGGAGGAGAGGAAAACAAATGGAAATGGGGCTTGGAGCAGCACTGGCTGGAGCCCCAAGTTAGGCCTGTGGGATCATCCAGGAGGTGTTGGAGCTGCAGCAGCATCCAGAACAACCCCAGAGCATCAGGTAATGTCAAAGGACCTTGCTCCTTCTGCCCTCTGAGCCGGCTGGAGCACGGTGGCAGTTGGATCCTGTTGGATCCCTATCCCTGCTCCCAAACTTCCCTGTTATCTTTGATTGTGTTCACCCCTCAGGAAGAGGGTCCCTTCCCACCCCTCCTCACTAGAATCTTAATGGMAATTAAAGCCACGTGTTAATACTGAAACCCAACGTCTCCACCACAATAAATGTGTGCAGACATTGCCCCGCAGGCTGGAATAACCCAGCAGAKAAATGTTATTTATCAATCATCTCTTCATTGCTGAGAGATCTTTAGGGCTGACATGTCTATTGAGACAGATGAGTTTCCAAGTGGTGGAAACAAGCCTGGCCGGTCCAGTTGCACCAATTCTCAGTAAGGGGAACCAGCCCAGCCAGTTCACAACAGGCAGGGATTACCGATGTGGTTTGCAGCAGGCAGGTTGTGGAAATCCTCAGCCTCTGGCTACTTTGTTCCATCACTAAAGGGACTGCTCCYGAACCAGCTGGAGGAAGGAGAAACCTTCTTTGAACCAGTTCAAGTTGCAACATGATTCAGCTGTTTTTTTGATGCAAGAGGAAATAATAAACCCCTAAACCATAGTTAGGATTCCTTAGATAGCAAAACAAAGAGCAGAGGAAAGGCTTTGGGTGTTTTTCATGCATATCTCAGTTTAAYTTCTGTTCTGGAAATAAAAGTAACTGAGAGGCACAACCTAGCTTCGATTAGTGCGACTGCAAGGCCTCTGTCATATGTTTCTTGTTCCTGCTTGTTCAGGTAGCAGCTGGGTGTCTGAAATCCCTCCTTTTGGAGAAACATGCCATAAATGAAGTCACAAGTGGCAGCAATGAGCCTCCTTGTCAGGCCTGCCCTGACTGACCAACCTGCCAAACCACGAGTTCATTACCCACAGGACGTACTTCACGTCTCTCCCAAAAATGACAGAGCCCCAATGAACATGTCTTRTAAATAACCCCTGAAAAACATCCCTCAGCCATGCTGTAGGGTTTTTTTTGTTCTCTCCGCCTCCACAGGGCACAGTCATTTCACCAGGGCCAGGCTGAAATAGAGAGGTACAGGATCATCTCCATGTGAGCAGAGCCAGGCTGGGAGGAACAAGCTCCAGACACCAAATCCGGCTACCAGGGSTTCCTCCAGATCTCAGGGCTCCATCAATTCCTGGTGCCAGTTCCTGGCAGATGGCGAGATGGTGCTGCTGATGAAGAATCCCATTATTCCAGAGTTCAATAAGTGCTTGGACAAAGCTCTCAGGCACAGGGTGGGATCATCGGAGCATCTGTGCAGGACCAGGAGCTGGACTTTGTGGATCCTTGTGGGTCCCTTCCAACTCTATAATTTCATTGTTTTCTAAACTTTTCAGGATGCAACAGTCAGCAAATAACTACAGCAAAGTATAAAATATCCACTTTTGAGAGATGGATCTGAGGGAAASAACATTTAGGATCAGCAAAGAAAATGCTGGTATTAAAAGTCTAAGGCAGCCTATGCAGGGCAGAGTATAAAAATGGGGTGCACTGGCTGGAATTCTGCTCTGGGTAGGCTCCCTTTGATACCATCTCCTGTGCAAAGGTTTTGGTGCTTTAGTCTGAACTAGAATGGAAAATCAACAGCTAAGGAGGAAAAACACAGCTGCTCTGTTGAGCAGGGCACGTCAGCCRGGGCTGCTCTGGAAACAACGTGCTGGGAAGAAGATCTGTGAGGGAGCAGCCAGTTGAGGAAACAAATAATATTTACATGCCCTGCCTGTGGAACTGGAAATAAAAGCTTTTTGCCAGTAAGAAGCTCAGCCCAACCCTCCTGGCCCCACCTGCTCCTGGGGGAGGGCTGGAGCTATAAAGGGCTGCCGGCAGTGGCCAGAGCTCACAGTACGTGGGGCTCTCCAGGGAATCCGAGGGACCATGGCAAAGAGGGTGGCAGTGGTGCTGGCTGGCTGTGGGGTGTTCGATGGCAGCGAGATCCACGAGGCTTCCGCGGTGCTGGTGCATCTCAGCCGGGAGGGGGCACAGGTAAGAGGCAGCGGCGGGATCCCGCTCCGGCTCCTTTTCCCAGCTCCGGCTCCTTTTCCCAGCTCCGGCTCCTTTTCCTGGCTCTGCTCCTCAGTCTTCACCTCCTTGTTTCTGAGACAAACCCCGAACCCCCCAAAAGCCAAGCAGCAGTGCCTGGAGTCACTGGCAACGGTGCAGAGAACTCCCTGCACAGGGATCAGCCTGGGGCTCTGTGTCCAATRGATCCAAAATCTCCAACTCCCCTGAATGCCTTCTCTCTTTATTTTTGGCTTGCACACCCTCTTTTCTGCTCATTCCATTAAAAAGACAGGGCTGTTTGAAATTCATCTCAAAGGATAGAAGTGAAAATACAATCAGAGAATACCAGGATCATTTAGGTTGGGAAGGACTTCAGAGCTCATCCAGTCCCCTCCACTGGCRTGGGCAGGCACACCTTCTACTATCCCAAGTTACTCCAAGCCCAATCCAACCCGGCCTTGGATAATTCCAGGGATAAGAGAACAGACAAGTTCTCGTGAGTTGAGCTTGAGGAGGCATGAAAAAGCTGCAGCTGCTCTTGAAGAGAGCCACTCGGTGAGACTGGGAAAGGAGGGAGGGTAACCCTACAGAACACTGCACTCAGCTGTGAACCTCCCACAYGTCTGGGTCAGAGCTGTTCCCCTGGGAATTGGAATTGCTCTGTGGAACRCAGAGGCACAGAGGTGATCTACATGTGCCAGTCCACCCAATCCCAAACCATTCCAACCCTGTGTCCTCTGTTTGGCTTCAGCATGAGACTTGTCCAGATGTGTTCTCCACTGTGTAATTTTGCCTTTTCCTGTGCTGTAGCTGCTGCAGCCGCTTCCCTCCTGCCATTCCCAAACCAGCAGGCTCRGAGCGCATTCTGCCCCCATCCCTGGATCGGCAGGGGCCTCTAGTGGAGGAAACTCGGGTATTATTTCAATCCCTCCTTTTCTAAGGAAATAAAATAGCGGAGAATGGAATCTTTCAGTTGGAAGGCAGGAGAGCTCAGCACCTCTCTCTCCACAGGAAGCAGCCCTGAGGTTGTCCCTCAGGCTTCTTGTCTCCCAGTTAGATAATTTCAAAGTCCTTAGCTGCTCCTCRCAGGATATTCCTTCCTGCCCTGTCCCCAGCTTTGCCCTCCTTGGGACACTTTAAATCCTTCTTAAATTGTGGGGCTCTGAACTGCACAGTCCCAAAAGCTGTTCACCACCCTTCTCTCATAATTGCTGCATGTGAGCTTGAAAGTGCTGAAGGAAGGGGAAGCATTTTCTGGGCAAACACTCTGAACTTTAGGAAAGCATTAAGTAGGGAGAGGAAACAGGCTCTGTCCCTGTGATGGGGTGGGACAACAGCACTCTGGGTGGTCACCTGGCAAGAGAGATGAATTGGAATAAAGGTAAAATCTTTAGCCCCCCAAACAAGCAGTTCTGGGCTAAAACAAAAGGCTCCTCCCTTCTTCCCTTCCTCCTTCTCTCCCTCCCTCAAGAGCCTGAAGATCCCAGCATTCATCAGCAAAGTCCTTTCCTATCAAAGGCTCTCAGCATTCCCATTCACTACCTGTGCTTTTCCCACATTTATCCATCACTCCCAAAGCATAACAGCCCTTTCCTCTCCCTCCAGGCAGAGGTTTATGCTCCCAACATCCCCCAGATGCACGTGGTGGATCATGTGAAGGGGCAGCCGACGGCGGAGCAGCGCAATGTCCTGGTGGAAAGCGCCAGGATAGCCAGAGGCAACATCAAGGAGCTGGCTAAGCTGGATGTCAAGGGGCTGGATGCCCTCATCATTCCAGGTGGGATGTGTGGGGCTGCATGTCCACAGCTTCCATAAGCCCTAGGCCTGGAATGGCATGGGACTCATGGGTGGGAGCAGGGATTGGAAGGCCGAGCCATGTTCCATCTATGCTGGCACTGCCATGCCAGCTTGGCCTTGGAACAGAACATGGCAGTGCCAGGCTGATCCCAGGAGGAGGGGACTGCAAACTGAGTTATTCTCGGTACCATCYAGAGCTGTGATTTCACTGGATGGAAAACTATCCCTTCCCTCAGCACCATCCTTCCTCCTCCCTATGAGAGCCTGGGACAGGGAGAGGGGCTCAGAAGCAGAAAGTTTGGTCAGTCTGATAMTTCATCTTTAGTCCAAGTGTGACTGTGGGGTTCCAGTGGGCATGGATGAGGCCTGGAGTGAGGCAAAGGAAAACATGTCAGCATTCCCCACCATAATCCAGGAAAGAACTGGTGGGTGGAGCACAGTTCCCACTGGAGCATTGATRCTGCTCTGCTTCCATTTGCTGTGGAAGCAGATGGTGCTTGGATGTTTCAGGTCCCAGAGGTGRGTAATCTTCTGTTTTAATTCTTTTACTGGTGCTGAACAAATGCTGCCATACATCAAACCCACCTCAGCATTCCACCTGGCAAAAATCCTGCCCTGGATTTCATCTACAGCCTAATCTGTTCCTCTTTTCTCAGGTGGCTTTGGGGTGGCAAAAAACCTGAGCACTTGGGCCACCCAGGGCAAGAACTGCAGCATCTCCAAAGAGGTGGAGGATGTCCTGAGGGCATTCCATGCTGCCCACAAACCCATCGGGCTGTGCTGCATCTCCCCAGTGCTGGCAGCCAAAATCTTCCCGGGCTGCGAGGTGACCATGGGACACGACACAGAGTGTGAGCAGTGAGTAACCTGGGGGAGCTGATGAGAATCCCACCAGGGCCCCCCAGAGCACCCAGCAGCCTGTCCAGGGGTCCTGGCCAGGTGRTAGAAGTCTCCTGAGCGATCCTGCTTGGCTGTTGGAAGTCTCACAAGGAGYTGAACATTATTTCTAAGAACAAACTCAGCTCTGCTGGAGCTGCTGCTTCAAGTAAGGCCCTTCCTAACAGGGAAAAGCAGAAACTCCTCCAGCACCTGGAAGACTCATTTTGTCAATTCTCAGCAGATCAGAAGGAATGACGTAGCACTGGATTTGTCTGAATTTTTGTAACTTGTTTCCACAACTCTGGCTTCAAATCAGACACTTTATTTTAAATATAATCAAATATTTGCCTCCCTGATGCCTCCAAGAGCCAGGATAGAAAAAATGCTGACTCAGAGTTCAGCAGATCAGGAGTAAGATGATTACCCAAGACCTGGAGTATGAAGAGGAGGGAGTTAAGACTGTCTTCAGTCCTACAGAACAGCTGTGACTGGATCCTTCCTATGGCAGCCAAGGAATGTTCATGGCTTTTGCTAGGAAATTTTTTCAGCACCTTGTAGGAAGTTARTGAAAAAAAACACCAAACCTAAATCTAATTGTTGTCCAGAGAAGCTGTGGCTGCCCCCAGATCCCTGGMAGTGTCCAAGGCYAGGTTGGACGGGGCTTGGAGCAGCCTGGGACAGTGGAAGGTGTCCCTGCYCATGGCAGAGGGGGGGACTGGATGGGATTTAAGGTCCCTTCCCACCCAAAGCAGTCTGGGATTCTATAAGCACTGTCTGGAGTGGGCAGTTAGGCAGTGGAATATCCATAGTGGAACATCAAGGTCTTATTCTGGCTTTTGAACTCACTGTAAGATGGAGGTTTCCTGTTATATAGCCATGGAGAAAGTCCTCAGGCAGGAAGATTTGGATCCTGTTGAGCAGATTTGGTGCATTGACCATAGACTTTTCACTCTGGCCCTCCATCAGAGCACCGTGTGTAGGACAAATCCCCCACTGCARGTTTTTATTCTGTTCCCTTGCAGGTGGCCTTATGCAAAGACTGCTGAGAGYATGAAGGAGCTGGGCTGCAGACACATCAACAGCCACGTCAGCGAGATCCACGTGGACCCCAGGAACAGGCTGGTGACCACCAGCGCCTTCATGTGCAACGCCCCCATCCATGAGATCTACGATGGCATCGGGAAAATGGTCCAGGAAGTGGTCAGGCTTGCCTGAATTCCCCAAAGGCACAGCATTCAGCTCCTCTTCCATGGATAACATCTTCCCCTTTCACATGGCAACAGGAAAAGTGACTCTCAAAAGTTCTTCCCCCTCTGCCCCCAGACCTCTGGTGGCTGCTGAGGAAGGAGAACCTTGGAGTTGTGTTCTGCCAAGGGCACATCATTCAGAGGCAGCAAACTGGCAGGAGCTGGGCTGGGAGCTGGCACAGAATCATGGAATGCATTGGGGTGGGAGGGACACTAAAGCTCATTTTGTTCCAATCTCCTCCCATGGGCAGGGACACCTTCCACCATCCCAGGCTGCTCCAAGCCCCAATGTCCAGCCTGGCCTTGGGCACTGCCAGGGATCCAGGGGCAGCCAGAGCCTCTCTGGGCACCCTGTGCCAGGGCCTGCCCACCCTCCCAGGGAACAATTCCTTCCCAATATCCCATTCCTGCCTGCACAGGAGCCAGGCTTCCACAGGTGCTCCCCATGCCCCTCCCTCCCAGAGCAGTGAATTGTGGCCAAAGGATGGAACCTGGTTCTGCTACCAAATAAAACCTGAAGCTTTTACTGAATTCTGAATTCTGCTTCTGTCTTTGCCTTTCCCTCTGGATCAGGACAAGCTCTGGGGCAGTTGGGAAAATGATAGAGGAAGAATCCCCAGCACCAAACCAGCCTTATTTTGCTGGGGTTTGTCAGAACCCAGACTTGACACTGATGTGACATTGGTAAGAGCAGGATCAAACCCGTGTCACCATCCAGGTCTGGTAGGAAGAGATGAAATTCTTCTCCTGCATTAACAGAACCAGAGAATTCCAAGTTGGAAGGACCTCAACRCTCATCTGGTCCAACCTTTCTKGGCAAAAACTATCTAGACAAGATGGCCCAATGTCCTGATGAATCCTAAAGTGTCCAAATTTGGGGRATCCACCACTTCCACGGGGAAATTATTCCAACAATTGGTTGTTCTCACTGTGGAAAGTTGTCCTCTGGTGCCCATTCAGAATCTCCCCAGGAATAAACTGTACCCATTACTCCTTGTCTTTCCTAWGGCTCCTCGTAAAAAGGGAGTTTCCATCTCCTTTGTAGCCACCCCTCAAGTACCAAACACAATGATGAGGTCTCTCCTTAATCTCACTTACCCAAGGCTGAATAACCTGAGCTCTCCCAGCCATTCCTCACATGGGAGCTTCCCRGGTTTTGGATCATCTTTGTGGCCTTTCTTTGGAATCTCTCCAGCCTGGCCATGTCTTTTTTTTTGGCAAAGTGGGGATGAAAAGTCTTTCCACAACCCTGATGGCTTAAAAGAAGACACTTTATTTGAAATACAATCMCATCTGCAGCCTCTGAGCACTCCTGCAAGCTCACAGAGCTCTGGAAATCCCCCAGCAGAACTGGGGATTTCCTTTTGCAAAGATTCCTTTAGCCATGTGAACTGTACACAAGTTAAATTGCAGCAGTGTATTTTTGTTTWGAATTTAAAGAATGTCCTAAAAAAGGGGGAGGGGATAATCCCCATAAAACAGCCTATTAAAAGCTGGTCCCTACAAATATGTAATAAAAAGAGTTTACTCTAGGGCCCAAATCAAGCCACAAACCCAAAATAGATTTACACTGGGCAATAGATTTACACTGTCTGGTTTTGAGTCATCTCTTAACTGAACTAGAATAATTTTGACCCATTTTTTTAGTCAGAAAAGGATCTGAATTTGGTCACAAAAATGTGATTTGTATGTTTAAAGCAGTGTAAACATTATAAGCAGCACCCATGCTGCTGCCTGTAAAAAGGGTGGTGTAAACTGCTCCCAAACACCTTWGAATCCTATAAACAAACAACTCCTACCAAAACTGACCTGTATTTTCTGCTGCCTCCACAGAAGTCAATACTGTACAAAAGTGAGGCACCCTCCTAAGGAATATAAACAAGTGCCAAGGGATGAATCCCACTGGGCTTCAGTAAAGGCTGGTCTTCTTCATGATCCTCAGGAATTCCTGCTCGTTCACTTCCCCATCCCCATCCCGATCCGCCTCGTCAATCATCTCCTGGAAGAGATTTGTGGTCAGGAGTTAGGTGTGCATTTTATTAGGAATTACTGGAATCATTCAGCTTTAGAGCCAATCTTTAGTGTTGTGCTGGAGGGGACAGTGTTGGTTCAAATTTAGAAAAAATATTTATTAAAATATGTTTTGCTGGGTACATTTTTATAGAAATCAGAACAGGAAATATTATAAGAAATTTATTTGAATTTTTGTAACTTGTTTCTGCAACTCTGATGGCTTCAAATAAGACACTTCATTTTAAATATAATCCAATATTTGCCTCCCTGCTGCCTCACAGAGCCAGGGTAGGAAAAACACTGTCTCAAAGTTAAGCAGATCCAGGGCAGGAGAAATAAAGTGCTTGGAGCAGAGTTATTCCTTTCACACCACCATAACTCCATAAAACTGCAATCTGATGACCCTGTTTCTACATCCATGTGGGCTCAACCCATCCCTGACCTCAAAACCCACAGACTGCCAGAAATTCCTCCATTCCTACCCACATAGAGAGGATTTTCCTACCAGCTCCAGCATAAAGATCCCAAAAATGTGAGGTCCATACCTGCAGCTCTTCATCTGTGAGGTTCTCCCCCAGTTCTTTGGCCACACGTTTGAGGTTTTTGAACGAGATTTTTCCAGTTTCATCATCATCAAAGAGTCTGAAAGCTTTGAGAATCTCCTCTTTGGAATCCTTTTCAGCCTGGGAGGAAGAAAGATTGAGTTCAAGGTAAAAAAGGAGTCGTTGTATTGTTAGGTAGCATTCAAAGTTATAAAGATCTCATAGACTGAGAAACCCTTGGAAGCAAACATAAAGGAGCTCAGTCAGCAGGAATTATATATAAAAGAAGAAAGGAGACAGAGACTCAGCCATTATTCCAGAATTCCAGGCTTTCAGGGAATTTTTTTTTCCATCCTAGTTAGCCAGGTATCTTTGGGATTTCATTATGAGGATGTTCTGCTATTAAATATCTGAGTTTTTAAAAGATYATTCAAATCAGAAATTTAATCTGTAAATTAGAATTCAAGAGAAGAACCCCCCCCATGTCACACATCAACACTCCAACAGCTTCCTGCAAATCAGGGCTGGTTTCTATTTGTGAGAAAAACCTTGGTTTCACTTTTTTTCCTTTTTTTCAAACACAAAAAACCCCTCTGGTTGTTAAAGAAACTTGTTAACGATACCATGATTTTAACCTTTCTTTGAAAAGTGAGAGAGAATCCAAGACAGGGAGTACCCCAACTTTTATATATTTAATTGTTTAGTTTAAAACAGTGCTTTAATGTCCCTTTAAACCCAAAAGGAGATAAAAGGTTCTCATCCAYCTTCAGAATTCCCTTTTGACTTGTAAAATATCCATACCATTTTCTGTGTCATCACTGCCAGGAAGTCATCAAAGCTGATTTTTCCTGTCCCTTCTTTATCAATGTCTGAGATCATTTTCTTGATCTCTTCTTTCTTAGGTTCAAACCCCAGGGCCCTCATAGCCACCTGGAAGGACAAAATAAGTTAGAAACCCTACAAAATCATYAACAAAACCACAGGGGAGGGGGGAAAAAGGTGAAGTTTCTGCCACATCATGTGTTCAAACATTCTGTGTCTCCAGGAAAACAGGGTCAGGTTTAGAGTGAGGCTGCTCTGCACACAAGGGCACATTGGGATGTAGAAAACAGGTTCCTATTCCGGAATTGTCCGTGAATTAATCCAGAAATTTCCTATGCGCACTCTCGCTATCTTAAACCAGTCAACCACAGGGAATTTTAAATAAGCTGTTTTTTTATTCCAGTGATAAAAATCTTGTTGGRGAAACATTTTCCTCCTTCAGTAAAGGGCCAGGCAGCAGGTCTGAAACCAGACCTGCTCCCTGTGGTCTCARAGAGCATGGACACCCAGGCAGGGAATGGGAGAGACAATTTCTGGAAGCAAAGTAAGTCCTAATTTATTGATGACTGCACTTCCCAAAGGGCTGGAGGGGGGAGGGATCAGAAATGTTYAGCAATGAATGAAAGCATGAAAATGAATAATATTGGTGGATTCCCCAGCTGGGATCATTTTAATAACAAAAATTAAGCATTCRAAATAATTATGATAATTATACATAATTATAATAATTATAATAAAGCATTAAATCTTCAACAAGACAAGGGGGAAAAAAAACACCTTTTTAATTGGCACAACCCCTTTCTTTTCATGTTTTATGAACAGAGAAGGAATCGGGACAGAAGGCACAGAATTATCCAYGAATTTTGGGCAGCCTAGCCCTAAAAACATTGGGTAAGAGCAGTAAAGAGATGTAATTAAAGAGAAAAATGTGCCTTTTGCCCACCAGGTTTAATACTGGAGGGACGAGGGGGGAAACCCAGGAAACTCCGGTGCTTTTTAAGGTTATTTTGGCGTTTATGCCCGGGTTCCTTTATAACCTCAGCCGCTTCCAGCCCCACGGAAATCCCAACCTTCAGCTCCTTGACATCGATGCTACCGCTGCCGTCGGTGTCGAAGAGCTCGAAGGCATCGCGGATCTCCCGTTGCTGCTCCTCCGGCAGCTCCAGCCTGGGACTCGTCTTCCTCCTCTGGGACGGGGCTCCCAGCGTTGGCTTCTTAAAGCCGGAGGCCTCGGCACGGTACAAGGAGGGATCAGGGCAGGGACACCGGCGGTACCCGGGGGGCTCAGCCCCCTCACCACCCTCAGAGCACCCTCGGCGTTTTCGAACCGCTTCCCCGCCCCCTCACAGCCCCTGAACCCCTTCAGCGTTTCCGAGCCCCTTCCCCGCCCCCTCAGAGTTTCTGAGCCCCAACAGCGGCCCTCAGCCCCCTCAGTGCCCCGAGACCCCTCATGGTTTCTGAGTGCCCTCAGCGCCCTCCCCGTCCCCTGACAGTCCCTTCAGCACCCCGGACCGCTCCTGAGCCCCTCACGGCCCCTCACACCCGCCCGGGCCGAGCAATGCCGCCCTCACCATCCCGCCGGCGTCACTCCTGACAGCCTCAATATCGCGCCCTCCCATTGGCTGTCGCCACCACGCCGTTGCTATGGCAACGWGCGTTCCTATTGGCGGGAACGGAGGCGGGCCCGAGGGGTGAATGACCGCGCGGGAGAGTCTCCTCCTTCTTTGAACGCGATTGGTCGGAGGGAGGAGGGGTTGGACCAATCAGCGATCGGGAGCGGGCTGGCGCGATGCTCGCCCCAGGAAAAGAGGCGGGGAGGGGGGGAAGTGGGCGGAGTCTGGTGGAAGGCGCAACGCTCATTGGTTGGAGCAGGCAGGGGGCGTGGCTGGGGGCGGGGCCGGGGCGCTGAGGGCGGCGGTGAGAGGGGTCAGGGAGGGTCCTGAGAGCTGTGAGAAGGTGCTGGGAGCAGTAGGAAACCGTCTGGGGGCTGTGGGACAAGGCCCAGGGTCTATGGGGAAGGTCCCGGGGGCAGTGGGGAAGGAGCTGGGGGCTGTGGAAACGTGCTCGGAGCAGAGGAGAAGGTCCTGGGCCCGTGGGGATGGTCCTAAAGGGCGTAGGGAGGGTGCTGGAGATTGTGAAAGGATCCTGGGGACCGTGGAAAAGTCCTGTGGGCCTTGAGGAGGGGTCTGGGGACTGTGGGGAAGGTTTTGAGGGCAGTGGAAAGGTGCTGGGGACAGTGAGGAAGGTTCTGGAGGCAATGGGGAAGGTTCTGGGGACTGTGGGGAGGTTCATGGGGATTGTGAAGAGCTCCTTGGGGCTGTGGAAAAGGTTCCAGGGGCTGKAGGGAGGATTCTGGGGATGGTTCTTCACGAATGGGAGGAAGACTGGGGCATGGAAGAGCTTGTGGGGTTGTGAGGGGCAGAGTRGGGGACAAGAAGAGGGGATGATATGAGGGGATGCAGGTCGTGGGATGAACAGCTGGGATCTGGGAGTGGCTGGGATGTGAGGGAGGGGTGTGAGGAAAGCAGGGCCTGGGAGAAGCTGAGGGTGTGTGGGAGAAGGATGGGGGCTCTGGGATGGGGCTGAGCAAGCTGGGGAAGGCAAAAATGGGAGATGGAGAAGTTCAAAAACTGCATTTTGTGAATGGATGAGGTGTTAAGGGACATGTTGGGGTAGAAGAGGGAACAGCTGGAGGGGGCATCACCCTGTGCCCCTGCTTGCAAACCAGCACTGTGGTACAGATGGGCAGGCACCAATCCTGCCTTTTCTTGGCTTTTTGCTTGGAATTTCGAAGGGCTTTTTAGCAAAATGAGTACCAAAGAGCCAAGGCAGCACATTCATTTGGTGATTTTGTTCCATGGAACAGGGAGAATTAACTCCCTCTCTTCATCTTTCTTTAGCATARCAGCTTCAAACCTTGATTGCCTTAACTAGAAATGTTATTTCAATGGAATGAAACTATATTCTCCTTTTTTTGAAGGATTTTGGTGGATAGAGCCTCACCTGAGCCATGGCCACACRCCTCAGATCGGTGAGTTGGGGCCTTACAGGGTGCTTTGGGAAGATTTGTCATGCAGAAACAAATTCWTGAATATTCTCAATATCACTAAGGAAGACATGAGGCTGATCCCGCATTAATGGTAATTGTGGGGAGAAAACATGATTTTCCAGAGTATAATTTGGATAGGTTGAAGTCATACCTTAATCAATACTGGCATGTGTAGCTTGGCTTGCTGTACATGTTATACTGTGCAATATCAAATTATAGAGAGTTTAGATATAAAATTATACATAATTGTGGCTGCCCCATCCCTGGAAGTGTCCAAGGCCAGGTTGGATGGGGCTTGGAGCAGCCTGGGATAGTGGAAGGTGTGACAGGGGTGGGACTGGACAAGCTTTAAAGTCCCTTCCAACCCAAACCGTTCYGGGATTTTATGATYCATAAATGTGCAATAAAAYTTCTTTAAAGCCTYTGCAGTGCTGTGAGRTTCAGAGGTAGAGGGCAGCATTCTGCTGCAGTAAAACTTCACTTCARGCATATCTCAGAGCAATTTGAGTACTCTTGGTTGCTGAAGAGCACACTGGGATCACAGAGTGCCAGAATGGTTCCACCTATAGGGGAAGAAGGCACCTAATGGGAAAGGAGAAGCTGAAACACTTTCTGTTACCTCAGTAGCTGTCCCTTGTCTGACTGAATCCCTCCATGTCCACTAAACCACATCCCAAAGTGCCACATCCACTCGTTTTCTGACCACTTCTGGGGATGGGGACTCTACCACCTCCCTGGGTAGCACCTTCCAGGGTTGACCACTCCTACAGTGAAGAAATTTCCCCAATGTCCCCCTGCCCCTCCCCTGGCCCAGCCTGAGGCCGTTCCCTCTCCTCCCGTCCCTGTTCCCTGGAGCAGAGCCCGACCCCCCCGGCTGTCCCCTCCTGTCAGGGAGTTGTGCAGAGCCACAAGGTCCCCCTGGGGCCTCCTTTGCTCCAGGCTGAGCCCCTTTCCCAGCTGCTCCTCACAGGATTTACACTCCAGACCCTACTCAGACCCTCCTTTGCATGGCCCATCCTAAATGACTGGTTCTGCTTTGATGTAGCTGAGGGACCTCCTCAGATTTCTGCTGTGGATAACCCAACGCTTGGCAGCAGAGCCTTTGGTTAAGGATATGGCCCTTAAAAGCTTGTGAACAATCATTGYCTTTATGTGGTTCCAGAGGGTTCAGGCTCCCTCGTGGATCACTGCAGAGGTAAGGCTTRGGTTACAACAACGACTGAAACTGTTTCCAAGCAGGACAGAGCATTCTTTGTGTAAAAGCTCCCTCCGACTCAGTGCTTGAATGTTCTGTGCTGGCAGTGAAGTCTTTGGTCTCAGTCCAGTCAGATGAGTGGCCAGGCTGAAATCTGTTAATTAGTGACTCGAATCATTGATTTACAAAGCTTAAAGAAAAAGAAAGGAAGAACTAATGAGTCAGAAGGACAYTGCCTGCCTTTACCTGGTTACTTTCTTGGCTCTGAGTGTCACAGGTGCTGATAATGGTGATGGTTTTAATATCCTGAATCAGCTGTGCCAGGAKKTTGAAGMAAATCACAGAATTWTCTGAGAATCCCAGACTGGTTTGGGTTGGGAGGTATCTTAAAGCCCATCCAGTGCCACCYCCTGCYRTRGSAGGGACACCTCCCACTGTCCCAGGCTGCTCCCAGCCCCAATGTCCAGCCTGGCCTTGGRCACTGCCAGGGATCCAGGGRCAGCCACAGCTTCTCTGGGCACCCTGTGCCAGGGCCTGCCCACCCTCCCAGGGAACAATTCCTKCCCAWTATCCCRTCCATCCCTGCCCTCTSGCASTGGGAMSCCATTCCCTGTGTTCTGCCTCTCCWTGCTCTTGTAAATAGTCTCTCTCCATCTTTCTKTCAGACTCYCTTCAAAKTCTGTTTGCTTTGACATCCAGACAGAGTTTGTGGGGGCCAGTCCTCTTCTGCCCTCCTCCCTGAGCCTCTTGKTTGTGAGTATGAGGCAGAATCATTCCAAAATCCACCCAGAGTGTCTGAACTCATAACTCCCTGTGACAGCACAGAACCTTGATGTCTGAATTTWGACTCCTTCAGTTTAGCTCCTGAGTAGCTGAGCAGAATTCCAGCTCGTTGAGATCCTGGGAAGTTGAGGGCAGTTTGCTGCTGTGTTCCTKTGTGCTAAGGAGCTTTCCCCTGTCCCTGTCCCTGCAGGCTGGCAGGAGCTGCACTGTGATCGGGGGTTCAGGCTTCCTGGGGCAGCACATGGTGGAGCAGCTCCTGGCCAAGGGCTACAGCGTCAACGTCTTCGACATCCAGCAGAGGTTTGAGAATGACAGAGTGACCTTCTTCCTGGGAGATCTGTGTGATAAGGAGGTGAGGGAAGAACTGCCTGGAACTCAACAAGGGCAAATGCAGGCCTTGCATCTACGGAGGGACAACCCCAGGCACCAGGACAGGCTGGGGGTGACCTGCTGGAGAAGGACCTGATGGACAGTGGCTTGTCCGTGAGCCAGCAGTGAACCCTGGGAGCCAGGAGGCCAGTGGGATCGTGGGGGGCATTCCCATCAGGTCAGGGAATGATCCTGCCCCTCTGCCCATCCCTGGGAGGCACATCTGGAGTGCTGTGTCCAGCTTGGGGCTCCTCAGCACAGCAGGGACCTGGAGCTCCTGGAGCGGGGCCGGTGGAAGCTGCGCAGATGAGGAAGGGCCTGGAGCAGCTCCGTGCCTGGGAAAGGCTGAGGAAGCCAGGGCTGCTCAGCCTCCAGAGGAGCCCCAGCCCAGAGGGACCCTCAGCCCTGGGTGTCCCTGGCTGTCCCTGTGTGCAGGGAGGGCTCCGAGCAGGACCCGGGCTCTGCTGTGGAGGGGACCCAGCGATGGTACCTGAGGGACAGGCAGGGAGTGAGCTCAGGGAGCTCCCCCTGCACAGGAGACAGAACCTCTGCCCTGGGCAGGGATTAAGCACTGGATCAGATTTCCCAGAGAGGCTATCTCTGGGAAATCTCCCTGCCTGGGGATATTCCAGMGCTGTCGACACAATCCTGTGCTTTTTGCTCTGGGATTGTGGGGTTCTGGGCCATGGAATGATGTGTGGTTAAATAGGTGCTTGTTCAAACACCRAGCCTTGCCTGAAGCACTGGGATCCCTGGAGGTCCTGCCCAGGTTGTCAGAGGGGATGCAGATGTGCCCCCCAGCCTCTCCTGTGGGGTATCCTCAGCACTTTTYCTTGGAAGCCTCTGAAAGGAAACAGATCTCACGTGTGGTGTCAGCTTCTGCTGAAAGAACAGGACTGGTTTGTGCCTAATGCTCTGCATTGCTGTTAGCAGAGATTCACAGGGTAATTACAGTCTCTGGGCTGATTGCAGGGGTGTGCCCAGCTCTCCTCAGCTCCAGGAGAATGGCACAACTCCTTATTCCCAACACTCAGGGCAGGATGTGTGAGCCTTGGCCAAGGCCTGTGTGAGCCATGATGACTTTGGGACAGTCACCTGCACACAGCCAGTGCCATGGGGAGCTTTAAACTGCTGCTTCCTCAGTGTCCCAACTCCAGATGGTCCTGAGCTCCATACCTGCACTTGGGGATTGCAGGGAGTTTGGCCTGGACAGCCTCCAGCTCTGGGCAAGCTCCTGGCATCTTCTCTGGAAAGACAAGAGGATGTGGTGTGTACTGAGGAGAGGACTTTCTGAAGGTCCTGGGTGTTAATCTCATTCCAGCTTCCCACCTTTATGGAGGGCACGTGACTTGAAATGTAGCAGTTTCCATGAAAACAGAAGTGTTTTATTTCCTTCTTGTTCTTTTTTTCCCCAGTATCCACTGTGGCTGTTGTTCCATTCCTGTCTCCCCCGTGCTTTCTTGCAGGCTCTGCTCCCAGCCCTGCAAGGCGTGTCCRTGGTGTTCCACTGTGCTTCACCAGCACCTTCCAGTGACAACAAGGAGCTCTTTTATARGGTGAATTTTATGGGAACCAAAGCAGTCATCGAAGCCTGCAAAGAAGCTGGAGTGCAGGTAAGACTGGAAAATCCCACGGAGCCTGGGAGAGGYTGATGGACTTTGTGACATTGGCACCACAGACCAATGTCAGCCTTGTTTAATAGGGGGACAAAGGGCTCTGGGACACTGAATTCCCACTTACTCCATGAAAACCAGTGGAAGAGAGACTCTGGGTCTCTGCTTAGTGTCAACTCAGTCCCTGTTTGCTACAGAAAATGGAAAAGCGTTTCCATTTTTTAATGGAAAAACATCCATTAAAATCTGTCCTAGTCACCCTGGGACAACAGCATCTGGTAAGTGGCTTCTTTCCTGCTTTATTAAGGTGACAGCCCTAAAGATGGCCTTTCCAGCAGTGGGAATACTCATGACATCCATTCCCTCTGAATTYCTTGCCATGGAAGGAGGAGGAACACACTTGTCCCATAATCTGAGTGTCATTTGGTTTAGAAAGTCAATTGCCCATAAAAGAAAGTGCCTGTTCAGCAGCCTGAAATTGAAGATTAAATTTTCTCCTGAAGTTATTTAGATGTCCCATAAATTTTCATTTAAATTCAGTTATCTCATTTATTTTAAATTTATTTGTTATATTAATTTCATTTAATTCATCCAGCAAAAACACTCAAGGTTTCTTTTTTGCTTTAATMTACTGTGATCTGTTGTTGTCAAGATGAGCAAATCTGTTCTAAAAACACTCCTTGTGTGTTAAACGCTGCATTGTTCCAAGCCAGGGGGCTCTCTGATTTTCCTGGAGGTGTTTTCCCTGGATTGACTGCCTTGGGTGTTTGTTGAAATGTTTAAATCTCCTTTAGGTAACACTAAATGGTGGGACAGAATGAATTAAAAGTGGTGACATTCTCTTACCTGCAGTTTCTGTTCATCTTCTGTTAGASTCAGTAGGATCAGTYGKTTAAAAATTATTGTTATTAMTAATATTAATATTATTGTCTTCACCCAGYCTCTATAAATAATGACATTTCTATCTTAACCTTTAACAACTGTTTCTTCCCTCTCTGCTGCAGAAATTGGTGCTAACCAGCAGTGCCAGTGTTGTTTTTGAAGGCACAGACATAAAAAATGGCTCAGAAGATCTCCCTTATGCCCAAAAACCTATTGATTACTACACAGAGACCAAGATTCTGCAGGAGAAGGTATTTGTCAATGGCTAAACAGGTATTTTTTATGTGTTCACATGACAAAAAGAGACTAAAACCAAGCTGTGACATAAATTCCTGGTGAAGTTGAATGAAATGCTGTTACTCTGCACAGTTGTTCTMGAACTGCCAGAGGTGTCCCTACCATGGGATGATCCCAGTTCTTACCTGCCCCAGCTTTGGTTTAAGAGCAGTTGAAGGGAGTTTTTTGTCTTTGCTCAGGGAAGCTGTTTCAGACCTGTTTTCCTGTTTTGCAGCCTGAATTTAAAGTTGGGAATGCAAATGAGGTACTGAGGAAGGAGGAAAGTTGGGAATGTGGCCTGAGCTGAGCAGCACAGGCCATATACTGAAAATAYTAATGTTAAAAAAGATCTGAAAACACCTGAAAGTTCACTGCTTTGGGCACTTGCACGCCACCAATATCTGCTTTGTCTCATGTTCTTATTGCTGCAGCATTTGTGGTTTAAATATGGGATAACAACATTTTAAATCAAAGGCAACAATCCTTTTTTGGATCCTTTTTCCATGGCTTGCATTTCAGTTGTGGGAAGAATCTGTGCTTTTTGTGCCAGAATAAWTTAGAGTCCCTTCCATGCTGATGCTGACAGTGTGAGAGTCTTGAAAGATTTTCCTCCAAAAGAGTTTAATTAAGTTTATTTGTGAAAACATCTGTTCCTTTACAAGCCCTCACAGTAACTGATAAAGGGTAAGCTTAGGAGCAGCAATCAAGGGTAGCCCAAATGCTGGTGATTATGGCTTTGTTTTGGGGAAAACTGAAAGGATTCTGGGTGGTTTTGTCTGTGCCTCCTCCACTGAAATTCCAGCAGCTGTTGGAAATGAGGAGAACATGTTTAGGAACTCCCAGGAGAGAGAAATCTCCTCCAGAGCTGCTGAATGTGCTGCTGGAGCTTCCAGGGAGATGGGAAGATGGGATCATCCCCTTCTGAGGGAGGKCTGGAGTGGGAATGGTTGCTGGGAGGGACAGGGATGCAATTCCTGAGTGTCCTTTGCTGCAGCTCATGCACAAAGAGTTCATCGAGTGCAGGAACTTGGAAAGCTCCTCTGGTATCTGTGGTGTTAAATGAGGGAAGCAAAGACTTCCCTTTCTTTGTGAATTCATTAAGTGCTGAGCCATAAAGACTGAGTTTTGTCTGGTTTTCTTATCAAGGAGAACTGGGAAAAGAGATGGGAGCAAAGGAAGGATCACTTGGAAGGACGGGAGGGGATATTAATTCCTGCTCTGCTGCCTTCCCAAGGAGAGGGGGAGCCCCAGCCCCTTTAGTGATGATCTYGGAATGCATTGCTGAGCTCTGCTTTTCTTCTTAACTTGCTTCTCCTCTTTCTCTGCAGGAGGTGCTCAGTGCAAATGACCCTGACAACAATTTCTTCACCACTGCAATCCGTCCCCATGGAATATTTGGTCCCAGAGACCCTCAGCTGGTTCCCATCCTCATCCAGGCAGCTCGGAGTGGCAAAATGAAGTTCATCATTGGGTGAGCAAGGCTCAGGCATTTCAGAGCTGGGGGGAAATTGATGCTGGATCTAAAAAGCCCTTTCGGAAGGGGACAAAGTGAAATAAGTAGTGTTGTTTCTTTTATTTTTCACTTTAATCCAGTTTTTTTTTTTTTCCTTAAAAATCATTCTGTGTTAGGGGCTCATTTCCTGAGATGGTGAGTGTTCCTAATGCCAAAGGAATATCCTTGAGGAAAGCTGGCATGGCTTGAGCTGTCTAAAGAGCTGTGCTATTTTAATATGAAAGTTCCAATTACTTGCTGTTAATTTAATATACACTTGTGGTATTTGATGTTCTAGCAATTAAAAACCCTATTAAATATGAAACGCTAAAATGTTGTAATATTTCTGATTACAAGATAAAATATTTTATCTTGGTATTTTTTATCAATTTTTATCAGTTTTTATCAAATTTGATATTTGCCTTGTTACTGAGCCTTGCAGAGCTTCTGGTGGACCCCTGGAATTTTAGAGCAAAGAATGGTTCAGGTTATTGTGCTCTGCAATTCCAGTGGTGGAGCAAAATGAGTTTTAAGCTCCTTTCCAACCCAAACCATYCCATGATTCTCTGGTTACCTGGACTCTGGGAATTGATAAGCAGATTCATTTTCTGTGTCTGTGCAGAAATAGATTTCACACCCTGGGTTAAATCTAATCTAGCTAAGGCTGAAGATGGCTTGTTGAGGGAGCCAGAATTCCTCGAGCTACAAAATTCCTGATTGGAGATTTGTCCTTCAGTGATGTTCTCTGTGCTTGTTACCCCTCTGCTTCCATGGATCACTGCTGATCCCCAGGCTTGGAGGATCTGCAGCACCCACAAACTTGAGAGGTTTAAAAATGGTGCTGTTCTGGGAATGTCAGCTCGGAGGGCCTTGCTGGGAGATGGCACAGCAATAACCCTTCCTTTACCTCCAAAATAATATGGGGAAATTCCTCCCTCTGCCAGGGTATGGCCTGAAATTGCAGSACCAGAGACTGGGAGAAGAGGAAACTTGGGATCAATTTATCCTGGCTGAAAGTCCTTCCTTTTGCCATGAGCAGATTTTCAGCCCAGCTTGTCTTGGGGCTAAACTTCTGCCTTTTCTCTGTGCAGGGATGGAAAGAACTTGGTGGATTTCACCTATGTGGAAAACGTGGTCCATGGGCACATCCTGGCTGCAGAAAA